AGGATGCCGCACCCCAAACGGGCCCTATCCTGCAATTTACGATAGAAGCGCAAGCGCCGTCTAGATTGTCACAGTTGGTGAAGTGGATTCTTCCTTGCTGACACTTCGACTAGGATGAGCTCGGCAGCGCTGGGATTGGTTGTCCGAGATGTTGGATTCCTGCCTAAGGTTAGTGCTAAGTTTCTCTTCTTCAAACGTATCGAATTTGGTGCTTTTGCTGAATGCTTTGTTATTTCGATGGAAGAATGCTTCGAGAAATTCAGAAGGACGGATATTTTGGATCAAAGGATCTGTGTTTACTTCACCGCATGGTCTAAACATGAGACCGAAGAGCTCAACAAAAGCTGTTCGTGTGGGGAAAAGACGGTCGCTTGGTTCTGAAAAGTCGGCCAGTTTTTTGTGTTACTATGGCCTTACAACCCCTCCTTATAAGCTTGATGCTTTAGAACCATTCATGAGCAAGAGGACATTGGAACTACATTGGGGAGTTTATCACCGTGATTGTGTTGAGCGCTTGAATAAGCAGCTCAAGAACAGTTCATTATATGGCAGCACCCTGGAAGAACTTGTCAAAACCACCTACAACAACGGGAATCCATTACCAGAGTTCAATAATGCTGCGGAGGCTTGGAATCACGACTTTTTTTGGGAATCAATGCAACCGGATAGTGGCAGTATGCCTTGGGGAAGCTTGCTTCATCAAATTGAAAAGGATTTTGGATCGTTTTCCAATTTTAAGGATAAATTCATGGAATCTGCAATGGGATTGTTTGGTTCTGGTTGGATTTGGCTAGTCTTGAAGAGAGAGGAGAAAATGCTTGCTGTGGTTAGAACATCACATGCTGTTTGCCCTCTAATTTTTGGTGATTTTCCAATCATATCTCTTGATATGTGGGAGCATGCTTATTATCTGGATTATAAGGAAGATAGAAGAAGATACGTGAGCAATTACATGAACCATCTAGTGTCATGGCATTCAGCTACATTACGTATTGTTCGAGCCGAGGCTTTTGTAAATCTTGGAGAGCCAAAAGTTCCCAGTGGCATGAGAGCTTGAAGGTATTTTAATTAAGGAAGATTTACATACGCAGCACTCAATTCTTATGTATTTACATATC